CTTTGGCGACCTTCTGTCTGCCAAAGTCCGTCAATTTTCTCATACTTTTTATCCAGTTACCAACAGTACAAAGAGTGTACTTTCTTCTGTTAGAATACATTAAATTTAAAAAGAAACTACTAAGGTGCGTTGGCACTTTTTTTCCTGAAGACTTTGCTAAAATTTTAAAATTTTTTTTCTAAATAATTGATTACTGATGGATACTGTAGTGGCTAATCAGCCATGAAGCAGCTCTAAACTGCAGCATTTTATTTTGAGATTAATTTCATTTCCTTTAGTTTATATGCTATCGTTTTTATCGAGAATTCTGCTGACTTTTCAATCTAGTATTAGTCATTTTGCTGGGTTTCCAGTAGTCGCTCAAATTGGCCATCAAAATTGATCAAGCAAATCGATACTGCTAAAAGCTTTTTTTTCTTTTTTAGTTTTTATGTATGTAAAAATAGCAGTTAACTTTAATAATTTAACTAAAGAAAGAATCTCCATTTTTATGCAAAGCATTATTCAGAATAATTTTTTCTTTTGGTTCAAAAGCATTCTTCTGAAGGAGCTTGTGATGCGCCTGAGAGAAAAAACACAGCTTGCAATTCCCCTTGAACTCTGACAGTGAGTGTCGGCTGCGAAGCCACGCTTCACTGGACACACTGGCCATCATCCTTCTCCTCTCTTTCTCTCTCCTAGGGCCACCACACTGTGCCACTTTCCCACCTGTGTCATTACAGTTCTAATTGCACAGTAGTCCTGTCAGCCCTAGCCGAGTGTTGACCCATTTAGGGGACAGTTGCAGTGCAGTTGCAATATTTAATCGATCATTTTCCTCCTCTACCTGTTGTCACTTGCTAATTCAGCATCCCCTCCAAGTGATGTGTAGTGTAGATGTGTAGTTGGTCTCTACTCACTTTGTTTTTCCATGTAATGCATTCGGCAGGATCTGTCGAAGCAATTCTTTTCTCTTTCAGTGGCTTTTCATCTTTTTCTTTTTTCCTTCTTCTTCTTCTTCCCCCGACTCTACCCTGCTTCCTCTTTCTCTAATCTGCACTGGCTCATGCTCCGTTAGTCCGGATGTTGATTAGAGCAGGAGAGAGTAGTTGAAAAGGAGAGGGCACTGCTGTCACAGCCATTTCCGCCCGCTGCACTGCCAGTCACAGTTCTGATTACAGTCCACTGATTGGGGCGTATGTGGTGCTCTCAGAGGCAGTGTGTCCCCCACACAGTGGTTGACTCACACAGTGCAATTCCTCTAACATGCGGATGATGAGGCCGAGTGATAAGTAAGCACACATACAGAGACAGACACATTTACACGACGACAACATCCCCTCACTTTCCTCCTCCCTCTCTCTCTCTCCCTTTCGACCGCTAGTCACCCAATGTGTTCGCAGGCCTGTTCTGTGACTGGTCAAAGTCACTTGCTTCTTTATCGTGTTCACATTTTTTTAATTTTTTTGTTTCTCTCCCTTTTGTTGGCAATATTCCCATTGCATCCGACACAAAAAGCTGTTCAGCACCCCATCATTGTCACCGTCCAGTGCCAACACTCACCTGAACTCGCCGGAATTAACCTTTAACCGAACTTTCACACGACACATGATCCACAAATGAACTGGCAGTCAGCTGTGTTCCAACAGTTGGTGCATTCTTCACTATATAACACAATGAATGGTCATCACTGAATCAGCAAATGAATCCTCGTTTCTCTTTCCTTTTAGAGTAATGGNACTGTGTTCCAACAGTTGGTGCATTCTTCACTATATAACACAATGAATGGTCACCACTGAATCAGCAAATGAATCCTCGTTTCTCTTTCCTTTTAGAGTAATGGCTTTCATCGATAGTTTTAATTCTGTCATTGCCCGTCTTTTCGTTGCTTCTCTGCTTCTTGGTGTGTCAAGAGGTGAAGATGACGTACCAACAACCACCGAAACGCCGATTGTCGGTGTTTTTATGCCTTTGACGATGATTCCGCCGAAGATTACCCTAGTTTCACATACCCTCATCGGTGACACCATCGACATTCCCTCTGAAAGCACCATTCACCTGCGATGCACCGGCCAAAGGCCGATGGTGTGGATATTTCCTCATAATCACCCCAACTGGGTAACTGCCACTTTTTTAAGCGATCAATTTGCCACCAATTGACTGACTGACTGATTTACAGGTCGAATACAATTCGCATTACGACAACTTGACTGTCACATCAAATTGTGACCGCACAACATCGCAAATCGATTTTTCGCCCTCTCGCTGCTGGACAGAGGCGATCATTCACGTCGCAAAGTTCGACATGACGGGCTCCTACGTCTGCCAGTACAACATGAGCAACTCCAAGTCGGGCAACTCCTCAGCGCAGTTTTTCAACTACCACCCCATCAGTGAGAACGTGCTCTCTGCGCCCTTCAGCGACCACGTGATCCCCTCCATGGCCCCCCATATGGTGGACACGATATACATCTTCGTCAATGACATCTACAACCTGATGGTGCCCTTTGAGGGGCAGACCGAGTTCTTCTTCATTGCCCTCTTTCAGCACCACCCCGCTACCATTCCCTGTCGTCCCACCTTCTCAAAGGCCACCGTCCGACTGCTGAAAATGCAGACAAAGGAGGGGGAAGCACCACAGGAGATCAAGCCAAACGCGACGCTGGGCATCTCGTACAATCCAAAGAAAGGCTTCTACTTTGAGCTGGCTCGCTGGGACTCTGACTCGAATTTACTGCAATGTCACTACGAGATGGACGGCATCAGCTCAACTACGGCAGTCAACATTCACTGGTCATGTAAGTGCTGCTTTTCTCTTTTTTTACAGGTATTTATAGGTAGAAGTTGTTGTAAACGCGCTTACATGTTGTGCTGTAGTGAGCACAGTAGTGAGGAAAAATGGTGTTTACAAAATAGTATAGTGAGTGGCAGGTGTGCTCAAGGTGTGTTAAACTTCAAAGAGAATTTTGGTCTGGGAATGAACGCTGCCAAGCTTTGTGTTCACATTAATGTTTGCCTCGTAAGGCACTGGCTGCTTGTAGTCGATAAGCTTCTTGAAATAGAGACCTGGAAGAGGAAAATGCGATAGTTTAGCTAGACACACGCACGCTAAAATTGAATAAAAGATTGCTTACCGATCTGCCTTATCTCTTCGTGCTTTTTACGCTCGCGAGTCCAAATGGCAATTTTGACCATCTGATTGCGGTTGGCCCCGCAGATTCCGCAGATCTGTTCGGAAACATCAGGAAGAACATTGCCCACCACGGCCATGGAGAACTCGAACCACATTTTCTCCACGAAAAGCTTGTAGTCCAGTTTGTCCTTCTTAATGGTAAACACCAGGCGGCCACCATGCTGATTCATCGGATCCTCCCAAACAGGGCGTATTCCTTTCTTAAACAGCGAATAGTTGCAGCCAGAGGGAGCCTCAGCGAGAGACACTATCTGATCGTAGATGCTCCAAAACTGTTCCACACTGCTGCAGCTGCCGATTGGCAACTGCGACTTCTCCCAGGAGAAGTTGTCCTGCAAGCGAAGGTACCAAAAGGTCCACGTGTCCTGCAGAAGGTGTCCTGGTGGGCAGTCGGTGTTGTCGAGGCTGCTTCGGTTTTCATTGACCAGAATTTTCACCTTCTCAACGACTGATTGTTGTTGCTGTTTGCTCAAAGGTGAGAATGGTCTCGGGGAATACTGTCCCAGTGGATTACCATAGTGCTGCAGTGTATTTCCGCACGAGTTCACAGAAGCTTGTTGGGAAGACGGAAATCGGGCGCGAGGTCGATAAACCGTGTTTTGGCCTGGTGGAGCACTATAAGCGGGGCGATGATGAAACATCTGTTTCTTCCAGTTGTCTTGGTATCCAATAAAAGTGTTTGGCTTAAATGAAGGCTGAGTATTGCGATCCATAGCTGGGCTTAGAAGGAGATTTCCCAAGAAATGACTTGCAATTTGTAAAAACACCAGCCATAAGAAGAAAAGTCTGCCGTTTTTGCGATGACGTAAGCTAACGGCAGCTCAAAAGTTCGAAATTCTGTCGTTTCTATTTTTTTACAGAAAGTTTTGTTTTGGCTTGATTTTTAATAACCTGAACGTATGTTTTCTGTTTCCATTGTCGTCAGTTCTTCCAAGTGATATTCACCCGATGATCGACGACACCAATGCAAGGCAAATTTTAGAGAACCAAACTTTTACTCTGAGGTGTTTTGTTCACATCGACATTGGCGTCATCATTGTCATTCACTGGATCTATCCAAACAAAAATGCCGCCGTAAGTGCTGAATTCTGACTCGAGTATTTGTGCAATGTTCTTGTGTTTGTCTATTTAGAGCAAGCGAATCACGCAATCGAGAATTGATACGCAGCGAATTAACGTCAACGGCAACAGCTACGACACAGTGTCGGTTAACCTGACTGTTGCCAATGCCACCACTGCGGATGAGGGAGAATACCGATGCAATGCCGTCGATGGTAACAATCGCATTTTCTACACTACCAAGCGAATCATCATTCTCGGTAATAACATCAAACAGTTCATTTATTCGCTAGCTTTCTAACGGCCCCATTTGCCATTTGCAGACAAGTACCTACCGCCGGCAATAAACTTCACAACCGAACTGAACACCAGCTTGCCATTTGTCCGAGATGCTGGCGAAGATTTTCGGTTTGTCACCCTAGTGAACGCCTACCCTGACATTAGCTTGTTCAACTTGACATGGTACAAAGACAGAGAGGAACTACAGCTGAACACATCGCACTATCAAATAGAGACCTTCTCCGACATGATTACGCAGATCTCCTTTTTCATTCCAAGCACTGTCTCGTCGGATAGTGGCGAGTACGTCTTGGTAGGTTTTTGGTGGTCCCTTTGCAAAACTTATTTAAAACGATCTTTTTTCTAGGTTGGCAACTCCTCCACTGCATCAGCCAACATATCTTTCACAATGTACATCTCCGGAGAGCCTGAACTGGTGCTGGAGAATGAACACAAGTTTTACACTCTGAACCAGAGTTATGAAATATCCTGCAAAAGCTATTCGTATCCAGTTGGGGAGACCTGGTGGTCCTGGTTGCCCTGTGATCCACTCAGCCCAGCATCTTGCCTGAACGCCTCAAGTGAAGGGCAGTACTACAGCGACAATGACACCCGATGGATTCCACTGCCTTTTGACGTTATTTTAACCTCTAATAAAGTGATAGTTCATCTGACAAAAACACAACTTCATCAGCAGCACTACCTTAATGAATCGGTTCTGCAAATTGGCGCTGCTCATCAAGCTGGAGTGTACCGTTGCTCGGCCCAAAACAAATACAAAACAGTTCAGCATTATCAGATGCCGTTTCTGGTGATGGACTCGGAGGAGACCTTCTCGGTGACTTCGTCCACCGATGAGCCCACCATTAACGATACCATTGTTATCACTTGCAAGGCCAGTATCATTGAGTATGAACAATTACACTGGGTCACCGTGCCTAATCAGCTCAGTAAGTACCATTTTGTAATCTAGACATTTTGTTGTTAAGCAATTACTACCATTTTTCACAGGTCATAAATCAGAAACCACAACTAGCAATAACACCTTTTCACTCTCGTCATCAATTCTGCTGCGCCTGGTTCAAATAAACGATTCGTCCATATTTGAATGTGCTGCTACTCGAAGGAGTGGAGAAAGTGAACGCAAGCACATCTACCTGACTGTCAAAAGTGAGTACTGCTGGAAATAGTGGTGGGTATGCTTTTTTTAATTGCTAATTTTTTTTCAATTTTTCCAGATGTATCTTCGCCTTCGTTTGTAGACACCAATTTGGACAATGAGATCATTGAAAAGGAGTACAACTCGCAGTTTGAGCTTCGCTGCTACATAAACGGTCGTCCAACGCCTGCTTTGTCATGGTACCGAGATGACAGGGAGATCATCACCAAGCAAGACTCGGGCATTCGAACTGAAGATCGCGGTCAGCGGCTAATCTTTTCGCGCTTGCTGGGCAAAGATGCGGGCACCTATGAATGCCGCGCAGGGAACCGTGCAGGAAGCATTGCCAGGCGTACTCTGCTGAAGGTCAAGGGAACTGATGGTTTTGAGGACACTATACAGATAAGCGAAATTATCGTCATCATCTTTCTGTCTCTCATTGCCTTCACAATGCTTTTGATGGCACTGTGCATTGGCAAGCGAAGTCGAGAAGCAAAGGTACCGATGCACTTTTCTTTATGCACTGATGCTACTATTATTTTTATGTTTTAACAGTTGGCCAAAAGGGATCTGGAGTTTTTCTCTTCAAAGATCTTTGAGAACGGCCAAATGGAGCTGTTCAATCCAGAGATGCCGCTCGATGAGCAGATTGATCTCTTGCCGTATGATTCGCGATTTGAGTTTCCCAAAGAGCGCCTTCGCCTCGGTCGAACTCTCGGTCAGGGCGCCTTTGGCCGGGTGGTAAAGGCTGAAGCCATTGGACTTGAAAATGAAAACTCTTCCACTACGGTTGCTGTGAAAATGCTTAAAGGTAATGCTTACAGTTTACACAACTTTTCAGCTCACTTATACTCGTGTGTGTGTGTGTTTAGAGCGTGCTGATACCAATCAGCGAAAAGCGCTGATGGCTGAACTGAAGATTCTGATCCACCTCGGACGGCATTTAAACATCGTCAATCTGCTCGGAGCAGTTACCAAGAACATAGTCAAAGGCGAACTGTTGGTGATTGTCGAGTACTGCGAGTTTGGAAACTTGCGACACTTTCTCCTCTCAAACCGAGAAACATTTATCAACGAGCTTGAGCCGGGGTTCGATGAAGGGTAAGTGAGAGTTAAACACTGGTACAGTTTTCACACTTTTAATCACTACCACCATTTTCCACTTTACAGTCAGCTGGATTACCAGAATGTGGACTTTTCCCATGTGAACAGCGACATGCAGAGTGTGCCCTCAACGCCTTCCTCTCCCACCACGCCACACTCTCCCGTACTGATCAATGATTACATTAACACTAATGGCAATGGTCTTGCTGGCGGTGGTGGTCGTGTCTCCCAGTTGGCCTACTACAATCACAACTATGTCAGTGGCGTCAATTCGTTTACGACCTCGTTCACCTTCCGCAAGCAACGATCTCAGCGGAGGGTTTGCACTTCAGATTTGATCTGCTTTGCATTTCAGTGCGCTCGTGGAATGGAGTACTTGACTTCTCGAAAGGTAATTGATCTAGGTTTTTGCAACTTTATCACTAATCAACTTTTTTCATTAAGCTTATACACCGGGATTTAGCAGCACGAAACGTACTTTTGGCTNGTGATCTCGGTCTTTGCAACTTTATCACTAATCAACTTTTTTTTTCATTCAGCTTATACACCGGGATTTAGCAGCACGAAACGTACTTTTGGCTAGCAATAATGTGGTAAAGATTTGCGACTTTGGCCTAGCCAAGGACGTGTACAAGTACGACAACTACGTAAAGAAAGACAACGGACCTTTGCCGATCAAATGGATGGCTATTGAGTCAATCAGTGACAAAATATTTACTTCAAAAAGCGATGTAAGCTTTTAGCGAGACTTTTTCATTTCTTTGAATGTTGTATTTTTCTCTACTAAAGGTCTGGTCTTTTGCCATTCTGCTGTGGGAGATTTTCACTCTTGGCAAAAACCCGTATCCAGGAATTGAAATTGATGAAGAGTTTTATAAGCGTCTCAAAGCCGGCTACCGAATGGAGAAACCTGAATTTGCTTCTGATAGAATGTGAGTACATTTTAGTCATTGTTCTATTTTTACTATTAAATGTCCTTTTCAGATATGGCCTCATGTCTAAGTGCTGGGCTGCCAGTCCAAATGAGAGACCAGATTTTGGCGAGATTGTCACGATTATTGGCGATCTAATGGACGACAAAGTGCGACAGGTAAACACTTTTAGGTTCCCTAAAACATCTCAATACAAATTACAACTTCGTTGTTTGTAGCACTACATTGATCTCAACAATCCGTACTCTGAAATGAACCAGCAGATTTTCAGTAATTTACCTGAAGACTACCTGAAGATGACCTCAATGACGAGTGGGTACGCCGAGGATTACTTGAAGATGAATGATGACAGCGCAAATGGAGGCTTTGTGGTCATGCAACAGCAAACGGTCCAAATGATGGACGAGCAGAACAACAACTCTGCTGCTGTGGCGTCGGCAAAAGGCGATCCGCCAGCTCCGTCCGGGACGTTGACGATACCAGCTGAACATGAACCGGTTGAAATGATTAGCATGCAAAACCTAAACCATTGCTCACTGCCTGAAGAGGACGAGGAGCGTGAAGAAGGGCTGGAGGTATCACCAGACCTGACAATGCACTACGACAATTTAGACCAAGTTGTGGTGAAGCACCGCGAAGTTCAGTCTAATGGCTCCTTGAAACACTCGTGCACGCAAATAAACCACCACTACGTCAGCCAGCCAATACAGCAAACCATTCTCTAGTTTGGACTACTAATCCCGCCACAATCAAGTGTTTCTAGTCTCTTCTTGTTTTATAGACATTGAGTTATTTATGACCACTGGTCATTGACCAGACAAACATGTACATACATCGTTTTTTATACCATCATCTGTTTAATAATATCATTTGAGCTTTGACAAATCATGTTTGGAAAATTATATCACATGCATTAAGTTGATAATCATTTAAGTATATCACTATAGCGCTTCTTGATGTTCAGGCACTTGCGCATCAACGGAGCCTTGGGCTTGACTTGCACCAGAGGAACGGAGGCTTTCTTCATGTTTCCACTGACCTGCTTGACCTTTGGCACATACTGCTTAGAAGTACTGGAGGAAACTGTAGAGATTTGCACCTTGCCTGGCGATGAAAGCTCTCCATGAGAGGCATCGATAACCACAGCTTTACGCACATGCTCCTTCTTGGTGCTGTTGCTTTTTTGGATCGAGTCATTGATCTGTTGCAAGCGATACTTTTGCTCCTCGTGCAGCAGCGTGTACAGCTGTGCCCAACTCTCGTTAAAATTGTCAAAGATGTCTTTGTGCACTTGATAAAACTTGCTCTTTTTAAGCTGCTTGACGATATTCTCAAATGAGAGTGCTTGTAAATGCTTAAACTCTGCGTAGCAGAATATAGAGAAAAGATGGTCGCATTGATGAGAGAGATCAGGGTTGTAGGCCAGGAACTGTTGAAGTTTTCCAATTCGCAACTTTTTCAAAATTGGCTCCAAAGTGGTGAAGTGCTCGGGAGAGCTATTGCGGTAGCGGAGAATGTTTTGCGAAACGACTGAAAACGATGCCTCGCGCAGAGATTTGACCGAGTTGTCTACACGGGAAGAGCCTGCAACGAGGGGGAAGTTTTTAAGGCTAGTAAATCTCATCAGTGGAAAAGGGAAAACTTACCAGAATAGATGCAGGAGCGAGTCTTCTTCCGGCCCAGAGACTCAGTTGTACTAGAAGCCATGTTTATCGTCGGGAGAATTTCGAAGACTAGAAGGCTTTTTGTTGCGAGCGACGTTTTGTTTTTCGCTCGCGCACAATTTCTAAAAAACGTGCAAGCGCCTTCCGCAAAATCTATGACCGTTTTAGAAGTCTCATGGGAAAAGCTGATCTTATCAGCTGTGCTTGGATCAAGTGCAGGCGACTCGAGGTGATGCTTGCCTTTGCGCAGAAGTAGCCCTCGAGGATAAGTCCTCTAGCGCTTATAAATGCACTCTTTCCACTTGCCTGTACACTTTGAGGGGAGAAAGCCCAAATGAGTACGGGAATTCATTGAAGAGCACAGGTCCGGAGCTTGAATCTCCGCATTTCTCGGCATTTCTTTCTTTCTTTCGGTCAATCGCCCCACAATGGTGCCTTGTACTCCGGTAGCGTCACTTGTGATTCGATACACTGATTGGACCAAGATAAAGAGCATTTCAGAGGCGACGCAGGTCAAGTCAATGAGCTGGGTTGTCCAGCAACTATGCTTACATGTAACCATTACAATGCTTTAATTTATTGAAGAAATAATCAAACTGCTAATGTTTTGAAAGGTTCATTTTGAGGCTGTAAACTCAGAAAAGGTACATGTAAAAGAAGACCAGAAAGGCGATTATAACGGCAATGGTAACCAGGAAATAGGGAGACGTGAAAAGAGCCGACATTGAACTGATCGCAGGTGAGCGGCGTGTTTTTGAGTCGTCCAACTCGTAGGTCGATTGAGAGTTAGTGGATCGCCTTATCGGCGGTCTGCACTGGGGTCGCTTGAAATATTCATTGCTTGAGACTGTTGGAGACAAGTCTGAACTTTGCAAAAGGTGGCCGTTATCCTCCTCATATTGACTGAGATTACTCGCCGTGGTAATATTGGTGAAGGTTTCATTAATTCTGACCGATTTTCTTTCCTTTATTTTAGTGGGCGATTCCTGGGAAAAAANATTACTCGCCGTGGTAATATTGGTGAAGGTTTCATTAATTCTGACCGATTTTCTTTCCTTTATTTTAGTGGGCGATTCCTGGGAAAAAATGCATTTGTTAGATATGTTTCAAGCATCTTGTAAGAGACACTTACTGATTTCTTTGGTGTTGTGTAAATTTGAGGCAATTTAGCAATAGGGCTTTGCTTTGAAGTTTGCTCTTCGTTGTCTTCTTTTCCAAAACTCTGGTCAAAAACTTCATTCAAGTTTTTGCCGAGTTTTGGCGGTGAAACATTTATTCTTTCAATAAAGTTTTCCTTTTCTTTTTCACCGTCATCAGCCGTAGCAGGAGAACTGACACTGTCTTGAAAAGAATTGCGTTTACTCTCGAGACGCTCGAGTTTCTTCAGAAGAACTTTTCGAGTGGTGTTATTGACTGGTCCACAGTTGAAGTTGAACTCTTGCGTCAGTCGTCGTCGAATTTGAATGTCCGATAGTTCGTTGGCGCTCAGGAGCTCAGCTTCGTCAAGAGAGGCCATGTTTGAAGTCAATAGTGGAACAAGAATATTCCCAAAGTCTGTCACTTGTTGTGCAGCAGCCTGGCAGGCGCTAAAGATTGCAACAGTCTGTAGTACAGCTGAGCTGACAGAGAGCGAGTGAGCGAAAACACGCTGAAACAAGAGCGATGGAGCGCATGACTGTTTGCGGCATGTCGATCGCACCGCCCTCACGCCGGGTGCAAGCTAAAGAATTTGGCAGTGAGTTTTACTTGAAAAAAAATCTGTTTTGTACATGCAGAAATGCAAGAACACTGAAACTTGAATAGCCCTGAATTGGCATCACAACAGGGCAATTGCTATTCGCTTGTCCATCTCAACACTCTGGGCAATTAGGTACCGCGAGATGCGCCCGACAAGGTCGCTGGGAAGTTCTCCCATATGCTGCAACAGCTGTGGAACACTTGGGACCACGAGAGCACCATTTTGGCGTCGCTTGATGCCACGAAGCTTGCGCATTTCACCCTGATCATTTCGAACTCGTCCCTTGTCGTCAGTGTACGCGAGGGTAATGTCGGCAACCCCCAGGCTAGCATCCAACTGCTGGGCATGCTTCTTCAGGACTGCATTGAGATTGCCAATTGCCGCCAGCAAATTCGGATCAACCTTGCCATAGTGTTCACTGTGACAAACCACCTGCTCGTTGTACTTGAACAGGAAGAAGAGCGTTTGAATGTCACACCTGGTGGTGAACTTGGCCAGCCACTTGAGCACCGTCACTTGCCCGGTGACTCGGATCTGATTGTGGTAGAGGCTCAAGTTGTTGCAAAGCAATCGAGTGAAAGCAGTGTCGGAAACGATCTGCTGAACGAGACGCTTGTCTTCACTGGAGATGCTTGCAAGTGTTTCCCGACAGAAGGTGACCAGCACTCGAAGCGAAAGATCGGTTTGCGCTGTTTCGTGCAGTAGAAAGTACATCTTTTGTAGGGAGTGCATCACCTGACAG